TGCAGTGGTTCACAAAGGGTGTGTCGTGTGCCACACTGGTGTGGCAGAGAGGATGGCAAGTGCAGCGGTAAGATTATTATTATTATTTTTTAAAGATATTTATTAAAATTTCAACATGTTACAAAAATGAGCGGGGAAAAAAGCAGATAAAAAAAGGAAAAAGATATAAAAATGGAAAAATACAGAGTACAAAATAAAACCAGTTAAACAAACAAATTAGTCTTTCTATGTCTTATCCTTCATTTACTTGTTTCCTCGACCTCCTCACACCTCCCTTTTTTGTATTCCAGTTCACATATTCTGTTCAGCAGTTCCCTCCCCTCTTTTAAATATCCTAATCAATAATCATAAAGATATTGTACTTTTAGATTTTTACATATTGCATAGTAAACCCTTTTTTCATCTTCCCTTGTAACATTTCAGCTAAGAACCACTTAGTTTTTATCGAACATCATTCTAACATTCATTAATTTTACAGTATTTCTGTAGATAATCTTTGAATTTCTTCCAATCTTCTTCCACCGACTCTTCTCCCTGGTCTCGGATTCTGCCAGTCATTTCCGCCAGTTCCATATAGTCCATCAGCTTCATCTGCCATTTTTCCAGAGTGGGTAGATCTTGTGTCTTCCGTGCAGCGGTAAGATTAAAGGACAATCAATATGATATTTTTGGGGGAGAACGCTTTGTGTTCTTATGTAGCTGCCTTGTTTTATACTTTCTGGCTGTCCCGTGATCATATTATAAAGGAGTTGTGTTCTGTGTTGTAGCACAGCTAGGCATTGTTGCTGTTTATTTTCCAATGTATTCCTCCTCAGTACAAAATCAGGGGTGGCATAATTATTATTATTATTATTATTTATTTATTTATTTATACCCCAGAGCCGGGCTCAGGGAGGCTAACACCAGTAAAATTACAATAAAAACATAATAGGAAAAGAAGAAAACCAATTTAAAATACAGGTTAAAATGCAGTTTAAAATGCAGCCACATTTTAAAAGTAGCCCATAGATCAAAAACCATAAGGGGAGGAAACATAAGGGTCAGACTGAGTTCAAACCAAAGGCCAGGCGGAACAGCTCTGTCTTGCAGGCCCTGCGGAAAGATGTCAAGTCCCACAGGGCCCTGGTCTCTTGTGACAGAGCGTTCCACCAAGTCGGGGCCAGTACTGAAAAGGCCCTGGCCCTAGTTGAGACCAATCTAACCACCTTGCGACTTGGGACCTCCAAAGCGTTATCATTTGTGGATCTTAAGGTCCTCCGCAGGGCATACCAGGAGAGGCGGTCCCGTAGGTACCTGTAGGCCGCATAGGGCTTTAAAGGTCAAAACCAGCACCTTAAACCTGACCCTGTACTCCACTGGGAGCCAGTGCAGTTGCTAAAGCACTGGATGAATGTGATCCCACGGCAAGGACCCCGTAAGGAGCCTCGCTGCAGCATTCTGCACCCACTGGAGTTTCAGATTTTTATTCTGAAAGTGTGGCTCAGAGAAAAACGTTTGAGAACAGTTAATGAAAGGTTTAGCTTGATATGGAATATGTTTTTTTTTCCTCCTCCTCCTCCTGGGCCAACACAGCTACTTTTCTGTTTCCAGGTATGCTTAGTCACCGCCCTTGGTGAGCAGCCGCCGACGGGGCATGTTTAACTCCCTTGATTGCGTTTTTAGGACATGAAAACCTTGTTCAGCTCAGCTTAGCAGGAGTCCAGGGGGAAATCTGGATTCAGAAGGGAAATGTTTCTCCTGCTTCTGGCGATAGGTTGATCATGGAAATCTGCAAAAGCTCCACTGCCATAAAGAGATCTTGATGGAGAAGGAAAGGAGAAGGGGACAGGGGCACAGAGATTTCTCCTCTCTGATACTACACAGAGAGCTGCTGTCTGCCAGTGTAGACTGGGGTGGGGGTGGGATAGAAACTTTTCTTTTCATCCCGAACGCCACATTCCCTTCCAGGCAAAGTTCTGGGGGCCACACGCCCACATTTGTGTGTGGGGGGGGGAGCAGAAACAAAAGTGGGTGGAACAACAAATGTGAATTTGATAAGTCACTTGGAGTTGCCTTAGAAAAAAAGCAACTAACACATTTTTTTTTATTTATTAACTTTATTATTATTATTATTTATATATTGCATTTATATACTGCCCTATACCCAGGGGTCTCAGGGTGGTTCACAGAACAAAATCAAGATATAAAACCGCAAAATACCTAATAAAAATAAAAACAATGCAATAGCCTCCTTCCCCCACCCCCACCCCCCCAAAAAAACACATTTTAAAAGGGCATAGGACAGGGGTCGGCAACCCGCGGCTCCGGAGCCGCATGTGGCTCTTTTACACCTTTGCCGCGGCTCCGGGGCAGATACTAGCGAGGGGAGGAGGCGCATTGTGCACCCCGACACTCCCCACTGTGGCGGGCGCTGTACTGGCTGTGACGTCGCATGGGGGTGGTGCGTGCATTAGTCACGCACCGTCCCGACGTCACCTTCCCGCCCGCTACATTGTAAGGGGCATGTACGCTGGTCACTGCATTGAAAGAGGCATGTACGCTGGTCACTGTTTTGAAGGGGAGTGAAGAACACACACACACAAAAAGGTAACTTGTTAATTTAACGTTTATTTCTATGAGGAGGAGTAATTCTGAGGGGTCAAACAAAGAAATAATAAAAAAGTGACAAAAAAGTTATTTTTATAATGACGAGTTTTGCGGCTCCCAGTTTTTTTTTCTTCGGAAACGGGTCCAAGTGGCTCTTTTTGTCTTAAAGGTTGCAGACCCCTGGCATAGGATGTAAAGTGGATCAACCAAAGGCCTGGTTAAAAAGGAACGTTTTTGCCTGGAGCCTAAAGGTGTGCAATGAAGGCGCATGGGGAACTTCCCTGGGGAGAGCATTCCACAGATGGGGAGCCACTGCAGAGAAGGCCCCGTTCTCGTGTTGCCACCCTCCGGACCTCTCAAGGAGGAGGCACACAAAGGTGGGTCTCAGAAGATGATCTCAGGGACCGGGTAGGTTCATATGGGAAGAGGCGGTCCTTGAGATATTTTTCAGGCTCTTTATCTCGCCCAGGGCAACCCAAGGTGACTTACAACCAAAGAAACAGCCAACAAGCCCCACACAGGTACATTAAAACCAAGAGGAAAGAGAAATATCTCAAGAACATCCCACACATCCCATAATAATAATGTTTACCTTTGTTATGCTAAGCTTGTTCCTACGCACACTGCAACACCCCTCTCTGTCCTCATCAAGGACCATAGCTGAGGGGCAGAACTTTCTATGCCGAAGATCCTAAGTACAATCCTATATAGCCCAGGGGTCAGCAAACTTTTTCAGCAGGGGGCCGGTCCACCATCCCTCAGACCTTGTGGGGGGCTGGAGTATATTTTGGAAAAAAAATAATGAACAAATTCCTATGCCCCACAAATTACCCAGAGATGCATTTGAAATAAAAGGACACATGTAAAACCACGCTGATTCCCGGACCGTCCGCAGGCCAGATTTAGAAGGCGATTGGGCCGAATCCAGCCCCTGGGCCTTAGGTTGCCTACCCATGCTATATAGCATCTCCAGGTTGAGATCTGTGTTGGGTCAAAGGTGAACAGTTCTGGAAGCTCTGCAGACACCATCTTGGTAGTTAAGATAACCCCACAATTAATTGGTAGCTGTTGAAGCAATGAGCTCCTATATGTTCAGATTCACCTGCTTTGATGTTATACTTATCTGTGGGCTTCGGGTGCTGGGCTCTGAGTCCAGAATGGGGTGCTATTCGTAAGACTTGGGTATTTGCCAGCTGTGCCCTCATCTATAGACCAGCAGAGACCCCAGAGATATTGAAGCAGTTGATCAATTCTTACACAACAAAAAAACCCGGCCATCAACTTATGTAAATCTTTGTTACTGGCAAACAAATTTGATATTCAGGTATTGAGGGAGGAATGGAATAAAGAATTAGAGATCTCATTTCGACCTCACAGTGGGAAACTGTTTTAAGTGGTATAACAAGGGCATCTCTGGGCCTTAAATCAAGGCTCATACAACAGAAAATAATATTTAGAATATACTGCACCCCATTACGTTTCTTTAAAAAGGGGGTATCTAAGGTATCTAAACTGCTAGAGATGCAATAGGGACAATGCTTCTCTGAAACATAGGTTTTTTCATTGTCCTATACTGAAAGATGTCTGGCAGAAGGTAACTGAAATAATCAACAGAACTGTATGGAACAAAATGCATTTACAGAGCAAAATATCCTTTTGAATTATATGCCCAGCACCTGGAACCTTACAAAAGGACAATATGAGTGGACTCTCCATGCCCTCACAACAAAAAGACCGATATTGATGAATTGGAAAAATAAAAATGCAGCTCCCTTCTACGATTGGATCGAAGACTTACACAAACTTGCAGCATATGATATAAACACAGACTTGCCATGGGCAAATTCAGAGATATTTGGAATCCATTCTTACAAATACTGTAATAGGTTAAGATCTGGTGAAGTATAATAACAACTTTGTAAAGTACAGTGGTACCTCGGGTTAAGTACTTAATTCGTTCTGGAGGTCCATTCTTAACCTGAAACTGTTCTTAACCTGAAGCACCACTTTAGCTAATGTGGCCTCCCGCTGCTGCCACATGATTTCTGTTCTCATCCTGAAGCAAAGTTCTTAATCCGAGGTACTATTTCTGCGTTAGCGGAGTCTGTAACCTGAAGCGTATGTAACCTGAGGTACCACTGTATACAGTTTTGGTTTTCTCACCCCCTGCCCTTTGTTTTCCCTTCTACACAGGTGCTGTTTCTCTTCTTCTTTTTCTCTCTTTCTTTTTTTACATCTCATATAGTGCACATATAATTATGTATTTTACTAACTTTCAAGGAAGATGTCTTTTTTTTAAAAAAAACAACCTATGCCCTCACCTGGTCAGGTGGAGTGATAGGAAGTCCTAGACAAAGTGACGAATGCTGCTTTGTGTATAAAGAATGCATGCATGTTTGCTTCGGCTCAGACAAGCCATCTCCTTTGGATAGCTTAGGCTGTAGAACATGAGACTTTTAATCCCAGGGTTGTGGATTCAAGCCCCACATTGGGCAAAAGATTCCTGAATTGCACTAAAGATTGGACTAAAGGACCCTCGTGGTTCTTTCCAGCTCTACAATTTTATTATTCCCTGCTGCGGTGTCCGTTCCGCATCTGCAAAGACTAGGAGAAACTGACCGGCTAATTTGCCGTACTTCTAAAAAAAGATAAAGGACCCCTGGCAGTTAAGTCCAGTCGCAGATGACTCTGGGGTTGGGGCGCTCACCTCACTTTACTGGCTTAGGGAGCCAGCGTTTGTCCGCAGACAGCTTTTCCGGGTCATGTGGACCGCTGACCGTTAGGTCCAGTCGTGGCTGACTCTGGGGTTGCAGCGCTCATCTCGCTTTATTGACCGAGGGAGACAGTGTACAGCTTCCGCATCATGTGGCCAGCATGACTAAGCCGCTTCTGGCGAGCCAGAGCAGCGCACAGAAATGCCGTTTACCTTCCCGCCAGAGTGGTACCTATTTATCTACTTGCACTTGGATGTGCTTTCGAACTGCTAGGTTGGCAGGAACAGAGACCGAGCAACGGGAGCTCACCCCGTCGTGGGGATTCGAACCACCGACCTTCTGATCGGCAAGTCCTAGGCTCTGTGGTTTAACCCACAGCACCACCTGCGTAAGGACACTGAGAGTAATTAGGGGACACATCCTTAGAGCTACAGTTCCCGGCTGTGACATGACACAGTCTGCAAACCCTACTACAGTGGTACCTCGGGTTACATACGCTTCAGGTTGCATACGCTTCAGGTTACAGGCTCCGCTAACCCAGAAATAGTGCTTCAGGTTAAGAACTTTGCTTCAGGATGAGAACAGAAATCGTGCTCCGGTGGCGCAGCAGCAGTGGGAGGCCCCATTAGCTAAAATGGTGCTTCAGGTTAAGAACAGTTTCAGGTTAAGAATGGACCTCCGGAACAAATTAAGTACTTAACCTGAGGTACCACTGTACAAACATCTATTGCTTTCTGCAGTTTTTAAGTGCAGTGCCTTTCCCCCAGAGCATCCTGGGAATTGTAGTTTGGTGATAGTGCTTTTGGATTCCACGGCACTATGCATTTAAGGCAGCTACTTCAAAGAGCCTTGGCTCCCCGCAATGAATCCTGGGAACTGCAGTTTCCTAAGGGTGCTGAGAATTGTTAGGAGACCTCTACATTCCTCCCCACAGAACTACAGTTATCAGAGTTCCCTGGGAAGACAGCTTGCTTGTTAAACCACTCTGAGAACTACATCTCTGTGACGGGAACAGGAATCAGCGTTGCTTTGGTCAAGCTCAGTAGGGAGCAAGGTGGAGAGGAAAGCAGAATGAACTGGCTCTCCTTGACACCAGCTCTCTGGCTCCACCTGCTGTTGGGCTCCATGTCTTCTACCCTACCAGTCGCAATGAGCACCGGTCACCACTGTGTGGCTGTCCATTGCTGGGAGCAGAAGGCTGGGCTACTCGCCTTTTGGGTTCGTTTTAAACTGCTGACAGCACCTAACAGCTCTGTTTTCCCAGTGTGCATCTCAGCAGAGGAACAAATGCCTGCTCTGCCTTTAAAGCAGTGCAGGAATGACTGTCACATACAGTATTTTAATTTTCAAATCTGCATCTAGAGAAGAGCTATAAGAAATGTAAGGGGGGGGTCAGGTAGTTACCCCCACAGGTAAGTATAGGGGCTTTTGAAGTAGGAAAAGCATACTTATTCCCCATCTGTTAAATGGAGCCCTAAAAACACAATATAGGCAGCAAAATTATAGTGGTTATTTTTTCTTTTAAGTATGAGACACTATAATTTTGCCTGGTGATTCAGGGCAGGCCATGAGATGAGTGGAGGAATATCTTACGCACAGTGATCCAATCAGAATGCTTCAGAAAACATCCAAAAAAACTGAGGCTGCAATTTGCCAGACCTGTGTCATGCGGAAGGATGTGCTGTGGGCTAAGAAATGTATTTTATTTTTTTTGCAAAGAACAACAATAAAATGTTGCAAACACACACAGAGTCCTTTGCAAAAAAACGGACTGTAGCTCAATAGTAGAGTGTCTGCTTTGAATTCAAAAGGTCCCCTGTTCAATTCGCCAGCATCTCCAGATACTGTTATGAGAGAAGCCGCTCTGAAATCCCCAGAGAGTCACTGCCAGTCAGAGTAGGCATTAGTGAGCTAAATGGACCAAAGGTCTGACTCAGTACAGTAGACCCTCCAGGTTGTTCTATTTTCAGGGACGTCCCTGATTTAGAGAAGCCGTCCCAGTTTCTGATTTGAGCCCCAGAATGTCCCGCTTTTCCTTAAAGGTAAAGGGACCCTGACCGTTAGGTCCAGTTGTGGACGACTCTGGGGTTGCGGCGCTCATCTCACTTTATTGGCCGGCGTACAGCTTCCGGGTCATGTGGCCAGCATGACTAAGCCGCTTCTGGCAAACCAGAGCAGCGCACAGAAACGCCTTTTACTTTTCCGCCGGAGTGGTACCTATTTATCTACTTGCAGAGGGTATGGAGTTATCCGACCCCCAAGCCATGTAAGGGATGCATAGGAAGGGTTTTTTTCATGTTTAATGTTTTATTATGTTTTTGTATATGTTGGAAGCTGCCCAGAGTGGGGTATAAATAGTAAAATTATTAATATGGACTGGGGCGTCCCTATTTTCATTGGAGAAATGTTGGAGGGTATGAGTACAGGCATCTCATGGCATGCAAATCATGTGCTCGACATCACTAGCTTTAAAATAACGCTAAGGGTCTAGTCCTCATGGTTCTGAACCAAGCGCTGACATAAGAAGCTGCCTCTTATCAAGCCAGATCATCAGTCTGTCTAGTTCTGTATTGTCTGTGCTGCCAAAACAGCAGCTTTCCAGGGTTTCAGGCAGTGTGATCCTCCCAGCCCTACCTGAAGATGCCAGGAATGGGAACTGGGCCCTTCTGCATGCAAGGCAGATATTCTACCCCTGAGCTACAGAGATTCCCCAAAAGACTCAGGTCCCAGGCCCATGGCACAGATTTCCCTTGTAAAAAACAGAGGTGCCTGCCTTATATTGACACACAGCATTGGTGCCCATTGGGAACTGTGTGGCAGAAGGCAGGGGGTGAAATGGTAGGTGGAGCCAGAGCCAATGATCAGCAAAGCCAACTAATTCTTCTAATTATTATTTATTTTAAATTAATTTATTAAATTTGTATACCACCTTTCATCTGCAGATCTCAGGGCGGTCCATGACATTCTCATTTTTGTGCCCATCCTTCTGCCTGCTGACTTTTTCCAAAGGCAATACTGAGACTAAGGCTGCATCTACACAGATATATATATATATAGATAGATAGATAGATAGATAGATATAGATATATATAGATATAGATATATAATGTTCTGAAAACGCTCGGGGGGGGGATGTTTTAAAGCTTACAATGGAAAATTTCATAGAGTAACGATTTCAGCTCTACAGTGCCACCTGGTGTCGCAGTGTTATAACGCATGTATAATGTTTTATTTTGACTAATGTAGCTGAGTCCTAAGGAAGGGAAAGCTGGCAGGCAGGGCTAACCCATGGACTGCTTGCAAGTTACGAAGGTAGGCAAGGAGGTGGGACTGACTGAGGGGAGACTGAAGTTGGTGGCAGAGGCAGATTTAGGGGAGCGCAACTGGTTCGCCTGCAACGGATGCCGAGCCAAGCTGAAAGAGTGCCTCAGGGGGGAGCTGCAACAATGATGTGGAATGGAAGGTGAGAGGCAGGGAGTGCCAAATTTTGGCATTGCAGAGGGCAGCACTGAAATTTGAAAGCCCAAAGTGCTCCAGGCAAAGGGCCTTCTCAGTGGTGGCGCCTGCCCTGTGGAACACCCTCCCATCAGATGTCAAGGAAATAAACAACTACCTGACTTTTAGAAAACATCTGAAGGCAGCTCTGTTTAGGGAAGTTCTTAATGTTTGATGTTTTATTGTGCTTTTAATATTCTGTTGGGAGCTGCCCAGAATGGCTGGGGAAATCCAGCCAGATGGGAGCGTATAAATAATAAATTATTATCATATTATTATATTATCCATCGTTGGGTGGGTAGGATCACGTTCTCCCAAACAGATCAGCTTCCACTATTCCCATCTAGTTCAATAGTCTCTAATTATTATGCAGTTCTCAGATGTGGGCAGGGAACTTATCCTGCTCACCCTCCCTGACTTCCCCTCCCCCTTTTAATTTATTTCTGACAGCCTACACAGTGGAAGCATGGATGTCTTCTAAATCAGATCTGTTGCAGTTGCCAGTTCTTAAATGTTGACAGATGTTCATCTCTCAAGCCTTTCAATATTTGTTAGAAATGAGAGTGTCTCAATGAAGGGAATGACTGACAAGGAGCATGGCAAGCTGCCTTTTCACTGAGCCAGACCCATTGGTCTGTCTGGTTCAGTGCCGTCCACACTGACTGGCAGCTGCTCTTGGAGCCTGTCTTGAACCACAGGCCCAAAGGAGGGCATATTGGAGTGGCTGGGTGCAGGATGTCAAAAACATCAGAACAGCCAGTTCTAGTGCTTCATTTAAGAACATGTAAGATGTGTAGACGCAGGTGGCGCTGTGGGTTAAACCACTGAGCCTAGGGCTTGCTGATCGGAAGGTCGGCGGTTCAAATCCCCATGATGGGGTGAACTCCTGTTGCTCGGTCCCAGCTCCTGCCAACCTAGTAGTTTGAAAGCATGTCAAAGTGCAAGTAGATAAATAGGTACCGCTCCGACGGGAAGGTAAACAGCGTTTCCGTGTGCTGCTATGGTTTGCCAGAAGCGGCTTAGTCATGCTGGACACATGACCCAGAAGCTGTACGCCAGCTCCCTCAGCCAGTAAAGAGAGATGAGTGCCACAACCCCAGAGTCGGCCACGACTGGACCTAATGGTCAGGGGTCCCTTTACCTTTACTTCACCTTAATATGCTACAGTTCCCAGGATTCTTTTGGGGGAAGCCAGGACTCTTAAAGTGGTAGAAGAGGGCTTGAAATGTATGCTATGGATGTGACTATATATAATCACACTGTAAACACATCAGAACAAATGCTCAATAAAGACCGGGCATAGTCTGGTCGAATGCTCAATGAGCAGGTCACGTGGAGGAGACCTTTGTTCTTCTCAATGGACTTCAGATCAATGCATGGGCTTTAGAACTGTCTGCAGCTATTGCGAAAGACATCTAAGAACAAAACCTCCATGTTCAGAGGCAGTCTACCTAAAAGGACCAGGTAGAAAATGATGGAGAAAACTTTTCTCCTCCTGGACTAGGCAGTCCAATGGACTGATTCATTATAAAGCAGCTTCTGTCGTACCCGAAGCTACACTTTCCCAACAGTGTTCCACAATAGAGGAAGGCCAGGATTAGGCCCGCTTGTTTCTGGAAGACAAACTGGGGACTGGAGGGCAAGCACTTTGGATGTGTCTGTAGAATCACTTGCTTCCCTCCATCAAATCTCCTCTTGGTCAGACTCATGCTGTGGCCAATTAAAGACGATCTTTGTCTCCCTGGAAGAAATTGCGCAGCCTAACCTTTTAGCTTGAAATAGCAAATCAATAAGGAACTTTTCAATGCACGGACCCAATGGAATGTTGCCAAGGAAGAACACACGCCGAGTGGCATTTTAGAGAATTTCTCTTTTTGGGCCAGGAATTTGCAGTGTTTGTGCCATCCAGGATTACATGTGCTAACTGTGAAGTTGTTCTCCAAGTGCCACTCCTTTATGCTGCCAAAATCATGTCAGCTTCAGGCAGGAGGGAAGAATCCTCAGGCTTGGGGGAGCCTCAACGTTTCCAGATGTACAAGAAATCCTCTGGGGGGCGGTGGGAAATATACCCCGATGCATGGGTGGAGAACTCAGGTCCCAGGGACCAAATGCGGCCCTCCAGATCTTTTTTATATGGCCCTTCGGAGCCTCTGCAATTCAACACCACTCTTCCTCCTGATTCTGCTTGGCATTCTCCTTTATAATTTTTAACTGGGCTGGAAGGTAAAAACTCTTGACTGTGTATGTTTCTTATCTGGAGAGAGGGTAGAGAGGGAGTGTACTTAGAAACTAATCTACTGAAAAAAGGTAAAAGGTGTGATCCTCGACCCCCACCTCTTTTGCCTCTGGCCCTGCCCGCCACTGACATATGACCCCCCCCCGAAGGTGGACCAGAAGCGAATGATTAAAAAAAGTTCCCCACCCCTGCCCTAATGGCCCAATGAGGGATAAGGAGGCTGAGGGATCAGTGGCCATGGGACGCTGGTTGAGTGTTTGGAACAGGCACAGAAAATGAGGGCAGGAGCAATGGAGTGTATTAACTTATGGTCTCTGTGTGTGGTTTGGGAGCTGCACGGTCAGGGGAAAAACAATGTTGTCCAAGGTTGTAAAGACTGCGGAGAGAATAAATGGGTGCACTCTTCCCACCTTGGATCAAATCTATGCTTCCAGGTGCCATAAGAAAGCTGCAGAGATAGTGCAGGATAGTACACACCCTGGAAATGATCTCTTTCAACTTCTGCCTTCTGGAAGCCGGTACAGGGTTATAAAGACTAGGACTAGCCGCCTGAGAAACAAGTTTCTATCCAAATGCGAATTTGGTTTTAAATGCAGTGTAAGGTAGTCTCTATGTGAGTATATTGTATTCAATTATGGGGTATCAGAGTTTTTAGGGGGCTAACCAGGCTGGGATAGTTGGGATAGCAAGCTTGTTGGTTTTTGAATGTCTGATGTAGATTTTTTCAATGTCATTGTTCTGTATGGGACAATGACAATGAAGATTATCGTATCATAAATTAATAGGCAAGGGCATTACAAGGGCTGGAACCTGAAGAGAAGCGCTTCACATACTGCAACATTTCGTGGCAGACCCCACTTGTTAACAGAACAATTAACCCTGACTAGTTCCTTGGCTAGTCAAGAAGGCTTTTTAGCCAGAGGATGAGAGGAGGGGGGCATTCTTTGCTTCACTGCAGCTTTACAATTCTATAGAAAACACCCCCCCCCAAAAAAAATGTGCTGAGTGTACAGTAACTTCACATCTCTCTCTTTCTCCAAAAAATATTCTGTCCGGACTTCAAAACACAGACTTAACCAACAATATCCCACGATAGCAGTCAACACTTTGTACAGAGAAGGCAAAAGGGGTGGGGGGGGGAGGTGCACTTTCGTTGCTTCATTGACTTGTTTGTGAAAGCTCAGAGCCCCTGTTGCTGGAATCTGCGTTCCGCGCTCTGGAGGGAAATCAAAACACGCTTCCCTTTGCAATGTGCTTTTCCGTCTGAGTTTACTTGCCATTACCCCTTGCAGCAGAAGGGAGAAGTGGTCGATCAGAGTATATTTGTGGGAAGAAAAGAGGGAGATGTACCCTGCTCTAAAGCCTCACGCCTGTTTCCCAGCTCCAGAGATAATTGACTCTGAACGAGGTCTACACATTTATTCATAAAACAGCAGCAGACTTCATTTGCATCACAAGAAGCCCTACAAGAAACTAGCCATAGTTCTCTCTCTCCCTCCCCTTCCTACTGCCCCTGCTCTTGTTGCTGGCCAACCCCACCTACACCTCACCTCCTCCATTTACGCCCCACCCAAACCCCCATCTCCTCTCAACTCCTTCAAGTCCCGCCCCCCGTAAATATCCTCCTAGCTCCTCTGTGTTCCTCCATCCCTGCTTTATTTAAATCTCTGCTGTTGTTTAAAACAGCCATTTTAAAACCCACCTTCACTTTGGCTTCCCCTGCCCGACCACACAAATCTAGGATTGTAATGTGGCACTACAAATCCTCCAGTGGGGGCTGCGTGATGACAGTCCTATATTTTTAATATATATAGGGATACACACGCACATACACGCAAAACATTTTATTAATTCACTAATTAATAAATGTGGAAAACAAAAAATAAGCCAGCATACTGAACTCAGAACCTCAGTAGCCTTCCTCCTCATCTTCCCATGCTTAAAACCCAAGAAAGACACCATGAGACAACTCCTCTGAGGG